CACATTGAGTTTGATTTGCCAACTCACTACTTATTAACTGTGTGACCATAGCCAAGTTTTTATTTGCTTTTCACGTACATTTGGTAATCTTTAAAACAGAGAAATTAATATTTAATTTTCAGGATGCCTGGCATAGAGTAGGTATGCTAGTAGCTAGTGTTATTATTATTCCTCCAGTTCATTTTATTTTTTTTAACATTTTAGAAGATCAAAGATAGCTTCTGAATGAGGTCTGACCAATTTTTATTACAGGATATTTACATGGAACACAAAAAATCTGACAACGATGTGACTAATCCTGATGATAATAACAGGAACAACAGTGACAAGTAAAATTGATGCAAGATTTCAATATGCAATCACTTTGCAAGTGAGGCAGCAAATACCAAGTCAATAGTAGAAAACCTAACATTTTTATAGAAATTGTAGAAGTTAAAGCCATGAGACCCCTCAGAAAGAGCAACCATCTTAGTTCCTCAGATGAGGAATCTTGTATATGAATCCGATACCCAAACATTAGTAAATAATAAAACTCAAGTCTCTGACACCTAGTCTAAAGTGGTTTGCCTTTTTCAATGGTTTTACTTTTTGTAAAAATTCAAACTCAATTTTATGAAGTTTAGAATTGATAATGAATTATCTGTGTATTCACAGCACTTTTAACATTAGAGAATTAATTGAGAATTCCTGGAGCATCGACAGTCTAAAACTTACTAGCACCACCTACAGGATGAATGTATAACCAAGTGCAATTCAAAATGAGCACTCCATTCCCGTTCATTCTTCTAAATAGAGCTCCCGCAAGCTGGACATTGCCACCTACTCAGAACAGATTTAAGACTAGGAAATGAAAGCCCACGAGACAGGTGAACCTCAGCACTTCATTCCTAATTGTATAAGATTTATCCTCTTGCCTTGACCCTTCTCCCTCACCGCTCCCCAGTTGCTAACCAATCTGTTGTATTTAATATACTTTAGATCATAAGATCAGTGTCCAGAACCTCTTATGTATTTTTTTTCTTGCCAGGTGTCTGCAACCTGTCTCTCATTAACACTTTAAGATAATTCACCTTTCTAGAGAATGGTTTTTGAAATAATTTTTCATTTGTGTGTGTGTGTGTTTGTGTGTGTGTAGCTCACACTATAGCTACTTAAGTTGTCTCAGTGGGTGAAAAGCTTTCCTAATTTGTTCGTAAAGTTGCTTAGCCCACTATACCACCCAGTGTGATCTTGATGAAGTCTTGCAGGAGAAATCCCTCTTGGACCTTAGCATCCCATAACACTGTACTTCTGAGTTACTGGAAAGTTTTGATCTTACAATAACCATGAATTCTAAGACTGGGAACATATCCATCTTTGCTTTGGCCCTCTTAAGGTTAGAGTCAAATTTGTGGCCAACTTCCAATAATTTACAAAAGTATATGAAATATATTCTTAAGTGCTTATTTTAGCCCACAGGATTCTTACCATACCTATACCATTCCATACACCTGGAATTTGTTAACTACCTATTTTATGTTTCTGTAATATATACATATATATTTTAAGCTGCCTCAAATCCTTTGTGAAATAAAGCAGGGAAGAAAATAAAGGAAAGAAGTCAGGGAGGCAGGCAGGCAGGCTGGAGGAAGGAGGGAAGGAAGGAAACAACCCAAAGTGTGTGTGTGTGTGTGTGTGTGTGTGTCTGTGTTGGTGTGCATGTGTTTGTAGCTCACATTTAGAGCAATAGCATGAAGTGCTACATGGCCAATGCACATGGTATATACTGGCCTTGCAGGACATTTGGTCCTGTCCTAAACGTCCATAAGACATTTGGTCCATAAGATATTTGGTCCACGCCAAAAGGTCCTTGACATTTGGTCCTGTCCAAAACATCCGTGAGCATGTTTGGTCCGTGCTAAATGATTTTGAACAGGACTAAAGATCAAGGAACTTTTGGCGTGGACCAAATGTCTTGTGAATGTTTTGGACAGGATCAAATGTGTGCTAATTCATTTATTGTATACCTCTTTTTCTTTGCATGTTTAATCTGGGAAGAATAGGTGTAATTATTCTGTAAGTTGCAGTTCAAGTTAAAGCTCTACTATTAAACTCTGCACGAGCTTCTGAACTTGAAAAAAGGGTCAGAGAAAAATACAAGGCCTGAGGCCTTGTGATCCGTGATCGTTAACTTTCTCCTCCAGTCTATTATTTGTCTATTTGTCCACGTGCTATTTGTCCAGAAAGAGGTTGATTTCAGTTCATAATTTGCACCTAAATTTTCGAGTCCTTGTATTGAGATTTTTAGTTTTGCTCATTTTTCCCTTAAAGGTCAAAAATAGAATGTATGAACATGCATTTTTTACCTTGTGTAAGTGGCAATAAAATAACCAAAACCTCACCTATGAAAGTTCTTATTCATTTTTTTTATTTCTCTCCTTGATATATAGAATGTATAATCTAGAAAAATAATGTGATCAGCCCTCAAACTAAGTTCTCTGATGAGTACCTCCAAAGAAACTACTTTCTGTTTACAATGGGATAAAAACAAACAGCTGTATTTTCACTCAGACTCTTCTCTCTAGCTGCCATCCCCAGTCCAACCAAGAATTTTTTCACATAAATCCTTCTGCCTCAGATCAACCAGAATCTTGCCTGACACAAGACCACTTTTACATCATAAATAACGTTGTTTCACTTTTCTTTTTTTCTAGAAGGAAGGATTTAAATGAGAAAAGTACACTCTCCATGAAAGTGCAGATTTTTTAGTATTTCTCTATACGTCTTTACGAAAGAAAAAAACAATTTATTCACAGTTGAAAATAATCCATTTATCTTTGTACTGCTGGTGCTATAGTTCCTAGGAAATAATGACATAGAGACAATTCCATGAGGAAATGTTGAGTTGTACCTGTATTAACAACTGATACAAAATAAATTATAATTTATTTTGTAAATAAAATTACAGTTACAGCTGAGTGTTATCTTTTGGGTCGTTGTGATCTCAAAACACAATTCAGGTCATAATTATTCTATAATTTTCTTTCTTTTTTGTGTCTAATTTCTAGGCCATGCCTGTACTTCAATTTCTCAGAAATAGGCATTAATTTAGGACTGTTTTCTTTTAAAATATTCTTTTAACTATAATAATTTGATTTGAAATGTCATAATAAGCATAATATAAACTTGTAGTAAATATGTTGGAAGCTACATATATACTTTTCAGAAACCATTTAAGAAATTCAGTTAAAATAAATTGATATCTAAATAGCCTTCCAGAGTTTATAAACTCAGTGAGGATGAAAAGAGGAAAGTAAAAACAATATAATCCCTAAGGAGATGTTACAGCCCTACAGCCACCACTGCCTCACTGTGTGGTTCCTGTGCTGTTTCTTATAGAGTCAAAGGATGGCAAATTAGAAACCTTGCCATGCTTTGTTTTCCTATTGAGATCATTTTTTGGAAAAAAGACAGCTTCTATCCCTAAGGATCAATGCATATAAATTTAAAGCTGTGAGTCACCTATATTTGAATGAATGAACTTGATTTTTACTAGAAGGTAGTGTGTATGTTTTCAAACCACCGAAAAAAAGTAGAACTAAGACAGTTCTTTCTCTTTTGTCTCGCCCACTTTGTGAAATGCTTAACTGTTTATAATGAAACACAGAATTACGTGTTCAGTTCTAAACACTTTCTTCAATAACGAATACTTCCCTGACTGTTTATTTGGCATTATGCCTTCACTGTTTGTTAGTCCTTTATGATTTTGAATGTATTTAAGAAAATTTGATTGTAAATTTAGCAAATAAGTAAATTGATACCCGTCTTTCAAAAGAGAAAAGTATAGGATCCATCTTAGAATATTAAAGTTATTGATTTATCTCCTTCATATCCATTCAATATATTTTCTTGACTGCTTACTTTCATCGTTTGTCAGATTAACAAATGTTAAATTTGAAGATCTACATTGTATTACTATGAAATATACTATTTGAGCATGAAAAAGTGAAAAGTTTCAAAAAATCTCTTTTACAATTGGTGAATAAGGGAAGGAAAGGCAGAACATTTTCAAGAAGTATTTCTCACCATGGGAACATGATTTTACAGAATGAGAATTCTGGGACAATGTTTATAAAATTATTGAACTCCTATCGTTTCCAAGAAACTATTCTAAAAATCATGTCTTTGATCAAACTAGCCAAGGAAAGGGGAAAGTGACATAGGTACTGAACTATGAATAGATTAATAGACAGTAATAGAGACACAAATAATACGCATCATTCTTTTTTAGGCCACTTTATTTTTAGGAAAGTATTTTCAAATTGTGTAAATGCAACATAGTTTAAGGGAAGACAATTGAACCCCAATCAATCAATGCTGTAATCCTTCATATATATAAGTGTTTCAATAGCTAGAATACTCCCAAGTAATCAAAATGGATGAGTATAATTAATCCGTACAGGCCATTCCAGGCTTCTACAAAATGAAAGTAACATGACTTTTTCACTCACATTTATAGAAAAAGAACACTTTATATCCTCATTATATTTTGCTACAGCACACAAGTCTCTCTAATTTGGCAAATTCGTGCTTGTTTTTACCCACCATTCATAGCATGAAATATAATGAGGCAGCAGGTTAGACACCAGGCACCCCTAACCACTTCTATTTCTCTTCTCGCTCTGCATGAATGGGTTTTATTGGCAGTAGAAAAATCAATACGTAGGAAATATTATAAAGAAATAAAAGACCTATTTAAAGTGTTATAAATGTATTGTCTAATTTCTTCCTACACTGGCAAGTTGTATGCACTATAAATAGAAATAAAAAGTGTACATATAATCTGACAACATGGTATTTAAAATTGGATAATATAGATTTATTTTTAAGGCCCTCCTATCACTACTTAACAAATAAAAAGAAACTTTGGATAATGAGAGAAAAGTAAGTACAAGTTACAAAAGTAGTAATTCTTTAAACCCCTTTTTGCCTTGCACCTAAATGCTGTGTTATGTTGACAGATCTGGGAAATTTTAGTGGCCGGACAAGAAGTGCAGTCTCGGTGAGGGAAGGCCAGGGGGTTGTTCTGATGTGCTCTCCTCCGCCTCATTCACCAGGTACAGTAGGATCCCATTCTATATTGCTGCTGCTCTCTTTTACTATATGCTCATTCTTTTAGACGGTGTATTGACTGGGGAACATTCCAGATGAAATGTGCATGGTTTTCTTGAAATGTTTCAGAGTACAAGATGACTAATTAAAGATCATATACTCTAAATACCAGTGGACAGGAGAGTGAGCTCCTATGATAAGACTGTTTTATTGCCGTCCTGTTAACTGTCGTGGTTCTGTCTCTGCCTGCCACCAGTGAGGAATATATTACCTGGAACACAAGCAAAGTGATAAGCTAAGAGAGAATAAAAACTTTTCAAAATTATTTGGAGTGTCAGAGTTGAGTCCACTGAATACCAATGTGCATCTTGTCTCAGAAGATAAGCCGGAAACTGGGTTGTTTATGGTGTTGTTTGTCACACTGGAACAAAAACGGTTAAGAAATTTTTTTTCAAGTTTCAAATAAAACTATAATTTACTTATTATTTTTTGGCTGCTTGAGCTCTTGTTTGTAAAAGTCATAGTAATAGGTAAGTACTTCACGAGGTTTGGAGTAACAGAATAGTAAACTGTGCTCAGGTTAATTATATTCCCTTTTGCCAGCTCACTGTTAATTATACTCATTCTGTTTGAGTCCCTTGATTTGAGATGAGTACCTCAGTATAGTTTTCTATAATATGATTTAAGAGTAGCCAGTATCAATTAAAAAGAGAGAGAAAGAATCAAATATCTATTTCTATCTCAGAAATAACATAGACCTTAGAGTTAACAACTGGAAACAGAATTCAGGATCCTGGTATCTTGATCAATTTTTCTACTTCGTTTAGTGTGAAAGCCATACTTGTTTCTACGTTGTATTATTAGTGTAGGAATGGACCTCAATTTTGTTCTACCATAGATAATTCTTACCATAAATTACAAAAAGACTTCAATCAACTTTTTTAAAGTTTCTCACTTTTATCTGATCCTCCTTTTAACTTTGTTTTAAATTGAAGGAAAAATAAACTATGTTTCAACAGGAAAATATTTTTGAAAACGTTTTGCTTTGAAACTCAGATAATAATCACTATTAGATATATTTTCCGAGTTGTACCCAGTTAATTCCTATATGTGAATTCAGTCACTCCAATCCTCCCATGAGCAATTTGAGGACTTTACAGTAAATATATCTAGTCTTGTCTTGTTAGTGCCATCGAGTCAGTTTTGATTCCTAATGGCCCTGTGTACAGCAGAGCAGAACCCTGCCAGGTGTTTTTACATCATCCTCTGACCTTCTGGCACTATACCAGACAATGCTCTGCTGCTATTCATACAGTGTTTTCCCGTAGTGGGTGACCAGATCCTTCTTCCTAGTCTGTCTTAGTGTGGAAGCTCCGCTGAAAACTGTCCACCATGGGTGACCCTGCTGGTATTAGAAATACCAGTGGCATAGCTTTCAGCATCACAGCAACACAAAGCTACCACGTATGACAACTGACAAACAGGTGTTGTGGTTCCCTGACCAGGAAACAAACCCAGGCTGCAGTGGCAAGAGTGCCGAATCTTAACCACTAGATCACCTGGGCTGGCTGTATATCTAGTCTTACCTGCATGTGATTACAGATTTAGATTGTTTCAAGGCAACATGTGTTTTAACTTTATTTTTATGGATAAGACAAAAAAAATTAGTAAGTTTAGGAGAATCCTATAGCATTAATATATGTTATGTCTAATGTTGGGTTATTAGAAAGTTTGAAGAGCAGTATTACATGAATAATTGTTAGAGATAAAAAGAAGGAGGAGAAGAAAGCAACAGGCTCTGTAGAGGATGAAAGTGTTCATCATCAGACTTAGAGGAGTTAACAACATGTAGTGACCCCTGAGGGCAAAAAAGCAAGATTTTTCTGAGATATAATCTATATTGCAAAGTTTTTGGAACACGTGTAAAAAAAGTGAAATGGGAGAGGATGATATGGGAAGCAAAACTGCAAGATTACACATAGACAAATTATCCAATTGGCAGAGAAAACTATATAGATAAGATTTCTAATGGGAAAAAAATAGTATAATGAGTTGCATATATGATAAGCATGAGATAAGAATATGTATTCATTGATTAAATAAATGAAAATGTGATCTCTGATTGAGAGCAATGAGAGTACAGCCAGATGATTGCTATTGTATATATGTCAAAAGAAATATTAGACTCATGATTTAAGATGGTAAGAGAGGCTGTATTCTACTAGGCACTCATTTTGGAGTACTATGTCAAATGATCCACTCAGACATCAGTGTTAGCATCACAAAGTTTTAGGGGACATGTGCATGGCCCAAAATAACAGGAGGAGCTCAGCATTCAGGCCAACGTCTAACACTTACCAGATGGATAGTTATCCCCTGATCAGCCAAATCTTATGTATCTTTAGCTTTCTTGTAGAACATTCCTTTTATATTCTGGCTCCAGTTGAAATTTGGATATCCCTGAAAGACATGGCTTCTCCTGTAGCCCTTTAAAGTTACATCTGTTTATTCTCCCAAATTGTATGCACTATTCAAAAGGAAATTGGAACAGATATCCTCCTTTCTCCTCATTGCCCATTCTCCCTTCTTCTTCCTTACAAACCCTCAGTTTTGAATTTCAAGCCATCAGAAGTCTACACTTCCTTGTTGCAGACATTTACACACTTCCAGCTCATTCCCCTTCATTTCCTGAAAATTCTACCTCCTGGCTCACTGTCAGTTTCTTCGGTACTACTCCAGTCTTAATATTGGGTAATTTCAGTAGGTCCCTTACAGCATCCTGTCTTCTTCATTCTGATGAATAAATGAAAAGCAATAAGAAAAGTTAGTATACTGTGGTATATGAGGAAGCCATTTGGTTTAAAACTAATTTGGCCTGACCTTGTTTTTCCAGAAAGGCCTAGCGTGGCCTGTTGAGCATGCATTGTGCATCTGCTTTAAACATTTACAATGTCCCAAAGCCAATAATGATGCCCTTAAAGGTAGGGATGTATGCCCCCCAACACACACATATCAGCATTTCTTTAAGAATAAGCATTTATTTCCAGAAACTAAGGATTAATTACTGACCTGCTATGCTCATTTCCTGACCACTGACTTACTGTGCTAGCAAAACATCTTGTGACTATAGTAAAAGAGATATTCCTGTCATGTTTGATGTACTTTCCTTGTTCCAAGATGGTATATAACCACGCTGTACACCCCACTTCTCTGGAGTGCTTCCTTCCTTGGTGAAGGTTCTCTCAGAGGCTATAGTCTTCAAAACTGGCTCATATAATAAATTCACCCCAATTTTGATTTATAGATTGATTGTGGATTACTTGTGTTGACAATTCCTTTCATTTCTTTATTCCAATGGTCTTGTTTTACAACCAATCTCAGCCCCTTGACCTGTTATTACCAACAGCTATAATCTCTCAATTACCACACTTGCAAACATTCTATTCTCTGACTAGCATCTACTATCTTCTGCTCAATCCTTCTTGGACCTTGATTTCAGGAATCCTATAACCTCATTGAAATCTACAAATCATTGATCCTACCTCCTTTTCACCCTATTTCTCCTCCTTTGATTCTTGCTTTTCTCCTTCAACTGTTATTATTTTCTTGCATACAGCCTCAATTTCTTCATTTATCTTTCGCTTCCTCACACTTGACAGTTGACAAAATTTATCCTTTAATCCTTATTTTAAATCCAACTTTCAGCCTACTGCATGCCTGAACCTACTCAGCTTAATCTGACTGTAAAAAGATAGAGTTATGCAGACTAATATGAATTTAAAATCCAAACTATGAATCTCAAGTTCACTTTAATGCTGACCAGAAATTTCAAAAAAAAACACCTCATCCTTTTACCATAATTTTGTCAAATCTTCAATGTGTCTCCCATCCTTCAATTTTTCTCCCATCCTCACTCTCAGCTTATAACTGCTGGGGAGAAAAAATCTTCCTCTACCCTTCTCTAAATTCTTCTGGCCGGTCTAAGAATTAAAGTGACGTGAGATAGTTTAACAGAAAAAAGTCAAACAGAAGTTTAATAATACGTGTTCTTCCTTATGCATGGGAGAGACCCTGGAAAGCTGAGTAACTCACCAAAAAGGCCAAAGCCACCACCTTAAATACGATCCTCAGTGAAAGACAAAAGAAGATGTTGGGGTTGGAGGAGTCAGTTATGGGAGGTTACCAGGAAAAGCGCAGTAAACAAGGGTAAAGTTGTTATGCAGATTTAAATCATTGTCTTCTGCACTGATAAGAGTTTCTAGAGATAAGGTTATCCCCCTCTCCCTGGGGGACACTCTTACAAATGGAGATTTCCCTTACAAATGTACATGTCTTTTACAAAGTGTGACTTCTACTTGGTTTACAGAGCTTCTCTATGTCTGCTGTTTCTTAAAAATAATCAACCTAAAGTAGTCTTTATGCCAAAGAGTTATATTTTGGGGTGACAAATTCTGATAACCATGCATCCTATTTCATTGTGAAAAGCAAAACAATTAAAAGATAACTTCCACAAGCCTTCATCACCAAATCACACACGCATTAGCATCTGTATTGACACACTCTAACTTCCCTTTTTTAGCAGAGATGCATTGTTGTGCTTCTAAAGGCAATCCCTCAACTTGTGCACTGCAGTTAGTCTTTTTTTGTCTACTTAAAGAAATCACTTCAGTAATTCTCCTTTCTCCCTTCTGCATCTTTACCAGAGATTATTTACTTTCTTCTGGATCTTTCCCTACACCGTGCAACCCTAACCTTTCCTGCACTTAGAGCAAACCTCTCTTGACTCATGTCTTCTTTCAGCTACTACCTTATTTTTTTGCTCCTATTCATAGCATAACTCTTCAAAAGCTTTGTCTGTACCTACTCCATCCAATTCCGCTCCTCCAATTCTGTCTATCTGACTCTCTCTCTGTCTCTGTCCCCCTTTCTCTGTCTCTCTCTCTTTTTAACAGATTTGTTGAATGCAGTTTATATCCCAGAAAATTCACTCATTTTAAGTGAACAG